TCTTTTTAACTCCCAATCTACTTGCAGCCCTGCAGATTGCTTGCAGTCTCCCCTGCTTAGCTTTGGAGACCACTCAAGATTAAGGAAGTGCTCTGCTCTTGCTAGAGCCACAAGTTCTATTCCAGGCTGGCAGGAGCTGTAAACAGGAGCACTACTCTGGGCGGGGATTAGGGAAGAATGGAGCAGACAAAGGCCTGTAAAATAATTTCTGTCTTGAAAGGAGAAAGATAATAAAGTTAGTATGGGCAGCTATGTCTGCCTGGAAAGGTGGTATTCACTACTGGATGGAGAGATGTCATTAGATTCACAAGTGATGGCAAGGACAGCTTTTATTCAGTTGTTGCTGGTATGCCAGCCGCAGTTATTAATGAGTTGATCAGGTTTGGACAGTCATCCATGCTTTAGCTATACCCCATCTTGACTATTACAACACTGCAATCAGCCATTCTTAAAAAGTCTCTCAGCTGTTGCAAAATGTGGTTTATTTCAGCCTTCCATACTAGGTGGAATAAAAACAAGCTTCCATCTCAGATTTGGTTTCTCTGTAAGGCCTTGTATTGATTCGGTATTGCTCACTGGCAGGTTTCACAGCTGTTAAGAAAGATCCAGAGAGGAACAGAAGACAGAACAGTCTCTATGCATCTCCTTCGACGAGGACTACAGCACAGGGAAATCCAGCAGAAATTTATCAGGTTAGCTGATGTACACTTCCATTATGGGATGATCCTAGGGGAAATTGCTTCTTTGGTTTGAAGTTGATAGAATGACCTAGATTTTATGCTGCCAGATTTCAGAAGGATCTGGGCAAGACAGCTTCCCCACTTCCTTTTCCACATCCTTTCCCACTGCCTTTTTTTCCCAGTTGGACTGTTTCCAGAAGGTGGTGCTGGGATATTACTGGCCACTGATAAATGCTGCTTCAAAAGCTTTGATCTTGACCTATTTGCTAGTGAATATCTACATGAAACCATTGGGAAGTGGTTGATTTGGTTGTTGGGTAAGATTTGGCTCATTCTGTATCTCAATATCTAGATTTAGGAGCATTAATAGCTTAAGAAATTGGTTTTTAATACTTTTAGGAAATTTTCTTGTTGAATCCAGATGGTGTCTTTAATACATATATTTCAAAGCTTTTCATTGAATATACTACAGAATTTCAGTTTTACTGCCTTTTTTCCTGTATTGTTTTAGCCTTGAAGACTGCATCTGTTAGTAGTTTTTACATATATTATAATTTTTTCATTGAGTGAGTAGATATGGAGAGTTTAAAGGAGTTTGCTGGGACTTAAGGGAGAGTCCCATTAATCTTCCCTCTAAGTCAAGTGTTTGCATTTGGCCAATATAAGAGCCTGGAACAGGAAGCAATACAGGTAAAACCTTCCTACTGATGGGGCCTAAAAAGAAAATATAAAGATGTACTGACAGGAGTCTGCCTTTTCTTGGTCACTTGGTAGGAAAAGAGTTAGTTTGGTTCCTTCTTCCTAAATATTTATGTCTCTATCTGCAATTCCTGCAAGACACAATACTTCATTGATTTTTTTTCTCTTCACAAGATTCATTACTTGTTCATTTTGACTCTATAAATGATTGCTGAAATAATGTTTACTGGGTAAACAGTATGGTAGCAGTTTAAAGCTTACCTTTTAATGGGTATTTTTTGTAACTTTCTGTTACCACACTGGAGGATTTTTAATTTCTGCAGGATATTTCTTATATACATGAACGTGTGTGCTCAACTTCGTAACATTTGAAAATGATTTTTCCCCCTTTCCAATTAACTTGCAGTGTGGAAACTGATCTACATGATAGGATTTAATCTCACTATTTTGCTTGGCAGAGAGGGAGAAAATTTAAAAGTTTGTATGTAAACACAATTACAGCACATGTACCTTTACTGTGTAGAAGAGCATTCATTTCCTTGGTTAACTATAATTAACTTTTCAGTCCTCTTCGTTATGAGGTTGGATATTAATTTTATCCTGGTGGGTCAGATTATAGGAATTCAATTATGATTTACACAAGGATTAAGAAGATGAACTACTGCATCTAGAAACATCTGTTCGGTGTTTTGAATGTAGATAATGTCCTTGCCTTTTCTTACAAAGGGGAAAAAAAGCAGCTTCAGAAACAAGTTAAATGTTATGGAATGGGGAGGCACTTTGCAGCCCCAGCAATATTGTTTTCTCCCCTTTCCTCCACCAGGTTGATATACTTCAAACCTGCAATAGATAACCCAAATTTGGAAGAGGAAGCAACAAACCAAATCTTTAAACTGTTCCAATCTGTATTCCAGTGCTTTTGGGGAGGAGAATAAATTCACCCAGGTTTTTTTATTCAGGTTCCATAAATGCCATTCACTTTTGCTTATCCTGGACTCTTGGGTTGTAATGGTATGTGGGAATGATATTGGGAGACAGGAGGAAGAGCCTCAGACTAGACAACAGTTATGCAAAAGGTATCTTGGCTCACAGAAACAAAAGGGATGTGGGAAGCATTTCAGAAGGGACCCTCCCTAGTTTTTCTGGAAAGTAAAAGCATTATTTATAAAAATAATAAAGACAGGATAAAAAAAATCCAAAAAAAGAAAAGGAGGGGAGAAATACTTTCAGACTTGCAAGCTTCTGTTACTGTAACCTTACAGTAAAGGTAATGTTAGTACTCATGGTTTGTGCTTCTTGTCTGGACTACCTCGAAGGGCTGACATGAGTCAAACAGATTCCCTGTAACTGTTAACCTGGGATACTTGTAATTGGCCATTGCTTTCTTTTGCTTAGACCATGTTTCTCAACCATGGCAACTTTAGACAAGTGGACTTCAGCTCCCAAAATTCTGGGAGTTGGTCCACTCGTCTTACAGTTGCCAAGGTTGAGAAACATTCCAGGAAGGTTGCAATGTAGCAGGAGAATATATCCATTCTATGTTTTAATTGATAGGTTGGAGGGCAGTATGTCTCTGCTGATTGGCCTGTTTACCAGCAATCTAGCCAACTTGCAGATGGATGCAGCTTGCTGTTTGCACGAACTCTCACTGTCTACTGATCCTGCTGTGGTCGAAGCATGTTTGCCAGCAACCTCTTATCTCCTGACTTACCTCTCTGGACACAGTGTAGCTCTCGTGGTAAGATGGAAGGAATCCTGTGCTTAATTGCTCTCTCTTCTGTCAAGCCAGAAGTGACCAAGTAATTATCCCTGTGTGGTTCCACTTACAGAATGTAATGATTTCAGAACGATTCTTTTCAGTAAGCTATTACTTGCTTTAAAAAGAAAAGGTAAGTCAAAATGGATGTAGTCCCACCAGGTAGTGCCAACAAATGTCACTAAACTGAGTTTTTATGGTTGGTTTTCAGAGATGCAGATCTGGTAAACTAGGTTCTTTTGCAATTTTGATGGTTTAAGAGCAGGCTGTTTGATTCCAGAACTGTAGAGGGAAGGTTCTGAGGATCATGTGGAGATTAGAGGAAGTTGTCTTGCACAGTACAAACTTGTTAAAAAGCACTTTAAAAACTTAATAGATCCCACCTAAATCCCAACATCCAAATGGGAGTGCTTCATGTATATTGTTAAACATATTAGGGTTTTTTTTTCTATTGCTATAGAAATTATGTACTTTATTTACCTTTTTACTCTTAGTATTGTTATGCATTTAAATTTCCAGAAATTACTAAGCTTATCCTTAAGAGTTGTTTGCAGCTCTTGTTCATAAAGCTGCAGTAAGAATAGAGTGAACATAGGGCACACACTCTTTCCTAATCTATTTCAGGAGCTGTGTTTGTATACATTAGGGAACTTAGTGGTTGAGATGAAGGCTGTGAAGAAACACCTTCTACCTCAGGGCATCATCCCAGTGTTGGCATCCTGTATCCAGGTGAGTATCAGATATAATCTGTGCCCAGGCACTTTGAATACCAGTTTTGGTTCATAAATTACTTTTTAAATTTATTACATTTATATTGCCCTTCCTGATGTAGATGTGGAATCTCCCTCTTTTTATCCTTACTACAATAACTGTGTGACTTAAGTTGTGCTGAGAAATAATGATTGGCCCAAGTTCTTCCAATGAAGTCCAAGACTTAATAGATATTCCTAGTCTTGACTGAATGCCTCAACTACTACAATGCACTCATTTTCTCTGCAATTAAAATAAGTGGAATCTCCTTTCTTATAGCATGTGCTATAGAAGTCTATCTTACAGCTACTCAAGACGTTAAAATAAGAATCTTCATAGAGGATAGCTCGCTGTTTTTAGTATTGCTTGTTACTGCATTACTAAGATTTGCTTAACTTACTAAGCAACTTCTGAGTGTTTCTGAAAGAATATATTTTCTGGGCTAGTCCTTGCACAGGTAGCCTTGTTCACAAGGTATCCGATATATTTTTTTCTGCACAACAGAAAAGTGCTACTGCTTTTTTTTTTTTCCTCTAATGCTACTGGATTTAGGCAGCTAAGTTGTTAGCATTGTAGACAGCTTTTTCTTCACTGACTTAGTTCACTCTGTTTTCTTCTGTATGCGTTGCTATTATCTGTTTCCTTTTCTAACTGGCTCTTTGACCCTGAACTATTGGATGATGAGTTGGATTGGTTGATTTCAGTCTCCTCATGTGGCGATACAGGAAGGTGTTGGCTATGTTCTGTCACAGCTCTTGCAATCCAAAGAAGCGGCAGATGAAATCATACCGTAAGTGAAATAATCTTCAATTTAGGAATTACATGCATATGTGACTATGAGATGCCCACATGGAGCCAATTACCAAGGAAGGTGATTAACTAACCTTCACTGGATGTGTTCCACAAGTGCTGGATAGACATTTGTCAGACTGCTTAAATTAAAATCCTGTGGTAAGAGGGCGGGGGTTCAAATTAATTGCTTAAATGGCCCCTTCCAATTCTGTGATTCTATTATTCAATTTTCTGCTTACCACTTTCTAATACAGGTAGTCCTCGCTTAATGTCCATTCATTCAGTGACTGTTTGAAGTTACAACAGCGCTGAAAAAATGGACATGACTGCTTTTTGATCTTAAGACCAACGCGGTACCCCCACAGTCACATGATAAAAATTCAAGCCAGCCCATATTTATGACTGCCCCACCGCCGCCCCCTCAGCTGACCTTCATCGCCTTTGCCTGCCTCCCTTCTGCTGGGTTCACCATCCTGGCCACGTGTGGGGAGGCACCACAGAAACATCCCGCAGGCCAGTGAGTGAGAGCTACAGGAATATTTTTTTTTCTTTCCCTGCTCTAATTGGGTGCCAGTGATATCAGGCTGGGGCATGAGGGCCGTTCTAGGTGGCGTGGCTCTTGGAAGACTGCTCCTGCGGGCAAGAGATGTGGGGTGCTCCTCATTGGATAAGCCACCGATGGGGCGTGGGAGGAGGTGGGGTCCTAAGCAGGTGCTTCAGCTCTGGGTCTTCTTGCTGCTCCATGGCTCTGGGTCTTCTTGCCATGCACAGCTCTGGAGCTGCTTGAACCCTTGCACACCCTCCCCCACGTGGCAGCAGCCAGCCCTGCTGCGCCTCACCAGCCACTCGCACACCCTCCCTGCAAAAAAGAAATAAGCAGTTTTTGCCATTTCATCTATATTGGTCTTAAGCTAAAGAATACATACATTTTAATAAACACAGAAATTCTACATGTCATACCACTGTGAAATTGTAGATAAATTCTTGTTGTGTTCATTAAGGCCTGCATAGTACAGTGTTTTCTTTCACACTTCTGTAAGCTTCTGTAATATGATAGTGCTTATCTGGCTGCTGCTTAGTTCTCCTAGTAACTAAATAAGATCTTCGTTTTGTCCTCAGGTTGGTCCTAGAATCCACTCTCCCACAACACATGCTTCACTTGGTTTGTTCCAGGCTGGAAGATGGAATAGGAACCGCAGTGGAATGTGCGTGGGGTCTTCACTACATTATTTGCAGGTAAACATGTTTTGTGGACAATGAGGATCTGAAATAGTAGGCAGCATATATTGGGAACAGAGGGTTAAGCAGTAAGCATAACTTCTCATTCCAGGCTTCGTAGGTAAACTGTGAGAAAAGAAGTCTGGTCTCATTATAGTGAGGAGTGGCCATTAAATAATTCATTAATCTTCTCCTTAGTAAGAGGGGATGGGGAAAATGTTGAGCAAAAGACAGATGGTAGCGGGGCTGGTCATTAGAACAAGAAACCAATGCACAGGAGTGGGACAGCTCTTTCCAAGACAGGATTTAGTTATAGGCTTTCCCTGAGGAAAAGAGATGTAGTTATTTTAAATAGAAAATGGGGTTAGGTTGTGTGTTAGACTACTTTTTTGGTTGCTTTTCTGTTCCATTTTTTGGCGGGGGAGGGATCTGTAAAAAAAACAAAACAGTCCCTTTAATAGGATTCTATTTCTGGTACTGTAGCTACTTTTGGATAATTGTACACATTGATTTACAATAAAAGTAACCCAGAGGGCTGGTCCTTTGATATCGCATCGTTGGGTTTTTAAGATGATACAAGCATGTCAGAAAATCAGGAAAAAAGAGGGATTTCCAATTTGCCTGAATTCAAAGAGCAAGAACAAAGAAAAACAGGGACAGCTTACAAACAGGGCCAATGCAATAGAAAAGTCAGGAGAAAAAGGACTGGGTTTGTTTGTTTGTTTATTCATTCCATTCATTCACAAGTGCTTTTATTCTGCTTCAGGAAAAAAGACAATTGAGTGGCTTACAAAAACAGTATGCAATAAAAAGCAGTACTATACACATTAATATTATACATATAATATTAATAGTAAAAATCATAATGACAATACCATTTGCGGTGCCCATCTGCATTCTAGCTACATATCTTAATTTCTGAATGCTTGCTTAAATAGCTGCATTTTCACTATTTTTAAAAAATATTAACAATGAGGATGCTGATTTTATTTCTGGAGGGAAACAGTTCCACGAGAAGGAAAATGCTTGCTTCCAAATCCCCTGCCTTTGTACCTTGGGTGGGGGATAGGGACTTTTAGTATGGTTCCTCTGCCAGCACACCTTGGGCGGGCAGATTCTACTTGGAGTAAGCAGTCCTACAGACATCCATGCCCCAAGCCATAAAGGACTTTATTATTAATACCTTGAATTGTACCCAGAGATAAATTGGTAACTAGTACAACTCCTGAAGTATTATGAGATACTGTCAGGGGGTTCTCATTAGCAGGCAAGCAGCTGCATTTTGTACTGATTCTGGATGGTTTTCAGGACAGTCCCATTTTGAACCAAGAGCAGTTTGGTTAAAGGCACTGGGCTAGAAATTGGGAGACTGAATTCTAGTCCTTCCTTAGGCACAAAGCCAGCTTGATGACTTTGGGCCAGTCACTCTTTCTCAGCCCTAGGGAGGAGGCAGTGGCAAACCATTTCCAAAAATGTTGCCAAGAAAACTGCAGGGACTTCTCCACTGACTTGAAGGCACCCTCCCACCCACCACCTATTTTGAATAGATTATAATAGTCCATTTGGGAGGTGATAAGGGCATGCCAGGTTTGATGGGGAGGGGGGGGTGTTGAGATATGAACTGAAAAAAATAGGATTCACCCCATTATAGTCACTTCATCTGTCTTACTCTAACTTTAGACCATTATTCTGTATCCTTCATTCTGAAATGATAAGAAAATAGGTCTTTACCATACATTTAGAATGAAATGTTATAAATGTTTGTGCATTGAGGTGAAAGTCAATACACATCATGAATACCAGAAGTGATACTCCCACATATCTAAATTTATGTTTAGATTTATAGTCAACCCTATTACTAGTGCAACTTTCAACATTTGAGACAAATCCATTATTTTACAGATCTGGAATAAATAGAAGGTATATATTAATTTCTTTCCTGTAAAGTAATGTAAACCAAAAGAGGCAAGCTTCTAGATAATAGATCAAAGTTGCTAAGAAGCTCATAGCTAAATCAGGATTAGTATCTATATAACATTGCATTTCTGACATCCCATGTCTTCCACCCAGACTTTGAACATTGAACATTGGTGCTCCTGAAAAATGAGTAGTTTGAATGTGGGGAGGATTATAGTAGTGGAAAGGAGAAAAGTTGGACTGTAACCATCTTGCTGAAACAGAATACTTATCTTCTGGTTTCCTTCTATTTGTAGCCAAGTGAACAATTCATTGTTGATCTCCCAAAGGACTGTGCCATCCCTAGTGCAACTGTTGCTGGAATTGTCCTCTCTGATAGCAACAACTTCTGTTGAGGGTCTAGAATTGGTAAAGTGAAAGGGAAATATATTGGATTTACCAGACTAAGCCTCTGAAACTTTTTCTGAATGTATCTCATTTTATTTTACCTTCAGTTGATATGCCCTGTTGTGCGGTGCATTGGCAATCTTCTTGCAGAAGATAAGACAGATAATAATGAACTGTTAATAAAGGAAGAGTGCCTTCTGAAGGCCTTGTTTGTCTTTATACAGCGTTTCCTGCCCAAACACACCTTTGTTGTAAGCGAATGTCTGTGGCTCATGAATAACCTCACAGGTATGTCCTCTGAACACTTGTCTCAGGTATTCTGGTTGAGAGAGCAACAGGATTGCTAGTCTTTGTTTTTGTTGTAATCTAGACTCTTCCAAAGTGCAGTAGCTGATAATACTAAGAACTCAGTTACAAATAATTGATTGAATACTGTATTAATAGCTGCCTAATTTTAGAACATTACAGATAAATAAAGACAATGCATACTGTAGAATGATAGAGCATCTTTGCTCAGAGCAAAATCAGTTTTTGAGAAATGGTAAACTCCAGGTTCAGTAATATAGTTCTTGTTCAATCCCTATTGCCTGCATGTTCTAAGTGAAATAAATGCTAGAATGAATGGCTGATTTTTCTATCTGCTTTTCTCAGTTAGCAGCACCACATCTTGTTCTGCTCTGCTCAGCCTGGAACTCTTTCCCTATATGTTGAAGCTCTTATGTTCTTATCAAGTGATCAGCTTGCTGGTAGGTAAAAATATTGATTCCAAAATATTGAAATGTTGTCAAAATATTTCACAATTTGATATGAATAGCTGTTTTTAGTTACATTTTTGGCAAGGTTCGGTTGGACATGTATGAAGCTAAAGGTTACTCTGCCATTAATCAAAGCAAAATACCTGCTTCAGACAACTGATCTTTAGATGATATAAAAGGACAATGCAGGAAGCTAAGTTCTTACCACATTTTCTGCTTCAGCTGTCCAAATAACTTGCTTGGTCTTAAATACTATGCATATTGAGGTGTCCTACCTGAGGGAGCAAAATGGCTTGTTCACTAGACTAAGGGACCATGCAGGCCATGAAAAGTAGGGAGATTCTGCAAAGGCATGAACATTCATCATTCTCTTGTACTTCAGCAGATGCTCGTTCAACTTCAAGGTGTTTCTTCTATTTTCAGTGTCTAGAAAATCAGGTCGGTTTGTCAAAAAGATGTCACTTGCCAAATACACAGGTTCATGACTCTCTAAACATAGAAGCAACCTCTTGTGATTTTTGAATTTCTGTCCAATGTCTCAGTGCTCCAGAAAATATTAATCAAACAGAAATAATACCTAGCAACGCTAATGAATGAGATTTTTAACAGATGGGGAAATTTTCATCTTACTGTTTTTCTCTATAGAGATTTAAGGTTCTTGAGTGTTTTACAAATCTGGCACCATCCTTAATCACCAGCTGCCATCATCGCAGGAGCTACAAGTAGCCCTCGACTTATGATGACAATCAGGACCAGAATTTCCATTGCTAAGCAATGTGGTTATAAAGCATAACTGCATCACTTAGCAATCACAATCCCTGTAGTTATTAACCAAATCCACGGTCATTAAGTGAGGCAACTTCCTGCCGGCTTCCCACAATCAAAATTAGTGGGGAAGCTGGCAGGAAGTTGCAAGTCGCAGGCTGGCAGGCAGGTAAGTGGCTGCTGCCGGGTCGAGGAGGGAGCGAGAGTGTATACAGAGGTGCAGGTTGGAAAGGGTGCATGAGAGGTGCAGTGTGGGTCAGGGAGGGTGTGAGGGGATGCCCAGGTCAGGGGTGTGAGGGAGGGGGTGTGAAGGAGTGTGTGAGAGTCGAGGGTACGTGGGGTGTGTGAGTGGCTGGCGTGGCACGAGCGCAGAGGGGCTGGGGGAGGGTACATGGGTGGGTGGGGGAGACTTATGCCAGTGGCTTGCAACCTTCCCTGCTGGCTTCACCATTGACTTTCTGGGGAATCCCACAGGGAAGGTTCCAAATGGTGATCACAGGGCACTGCAACCGGTTGCCAAGTGCCCAGATCACGATCACATGGTTGTGGGGGTGCTGGGGAGGCCAAAACTCCAAGGACCAGTCATAACCACCATTTGTTCAGCACCATTGTAACTTCAAATGATTGCTGAAAGAATGGTCATAGATAGAGGACTACCTGTATGTTCCTGTTTCTATAGGTTAGGAATCCCCATCTTTTTTGGGCTGGTGGGCACATTTGAAAATTTCAGAGCATGTTTGCATGTGCTCAGATCACCACCACCTTGAGTTATCAGAATGTTCCCCCAGCTTGCCCTTGTCTTTTTTTCTCTGGGGAGATGAGACACTTCCAAGCAAATTACTGAAATTAGTTTATTACTGTTTTCAATAATGCCCATGGACAGTTTCCAATTAATTATTTTTAAAATAAAAGAATCTTTAACATTTACTATATATGTGTATTCCTTAACTGAGTTTTAGAATTTTTACCCATTTTGGGAATACAAGCTTCAGGATTTCATCAAATGATAGAGAAACCTTTGTTGTCCTTGTTTCCAAACTAATTTCCAGCATCAGAGAAAATATACTATGGTCTCAAGAGATAGTGAAAAAATCAGCCAGTGAGATCTACTGATGAACATTTGATCAATCATATTTGGGGATCTACTTATTAGTTGGTCTGTGTCAGCTCTTGGATAGATTTGGCTGCTATTGTCATGATAACAGTCTGATTATTAATATACTGAAGTCAAAGGTTGTGGTTTTCGGAAAAAGACATAACAGACATAGATGGTTTTTAGTTGGCAAGTGATAAAGCAAGTTAGCACCTTTGCTTATGTAGGGGTAGTCTTTTCTGAGACTGGGTCATGGCTCCATCATCGTAGGAGCTCAGAGGAACAGCATGTATGAATTCACTGTTAAAAGTAATGAATCATTGTCATATGGGGTCTTTAGCCCCAATTATTAAAGTGTACAAAGCGGTTTTATTTATTCTGTTATGGATGGTTTTATTCAAATTCTTTACTATGATATGGCTAATAAAGTGGTACTGTTGGCATTCATGTGTGAGGATCTAGTCACATTGACACTGTGTCCTAAATCTTAGTGGAAAGGCAATAAAAACTAAATCTTTGTAAACAGTGTAAGATATTTAAGGAAACAGTTTTTAATATCAGCATAGACTGACATTAGTAACTGAAGTTACCAATCTTAGCTTCTGGTTCCATCTCCTTTAGGTTCTAACAGTGTTGTGCAATATAGCTGCCAAGGGTACTGCTTACTGTGAGATGCTGCACCAAAAGGCTGTGCTTCCTTCTCTTGTTAACATCCTTGTTGTTTCTGATGTTGAAGTGGTAGGCCAAGATCTAGAACTACTGCATCTCATCTTCCTTCACTGGCCAAAGGTAAATGTCTGTATTTGGTATATCACACTGTTACTCTATTTTCTAAAAGTCCAGGATGTTGTAGCAATCTTGATATTAATGTTTATGTTCTTTCACTCTGCCAGGCTGCCACTGATTTTGTAAATCATTCTGGACTATATGCCTTACAGCAGCATCAAGATAACCTACATTTGCAAGAGCGAGTCAAAGCACTAATTCAAACAGCTAGCCGGCTAACTGCTGTCCCTCAAAATGATTCTTTTGGAACTGAAAGTGTACATTTTACTTCTTTACAAAGTTGAAGCAGTGACATATATAAATCAACTAGATTAGCTTGTTGTCAAGAAACTTTAAACAAAACCCTTTGAAGAGCAGTATTATTAATTGAATATATCCAGCTACTTTTGAGAACTGGCCTAGCACAGACTGCACATAATTAATGGGAGAGTTTGAAGAATTGGCTTGGAGTTTTCAGTAAGAAGCCAGCTATCTTTTCAGCCCCTGGGCAAGATTTCACACAGTGGGCAGGGCACCTTCCCCCATGCCTTTTTTAAGTGTTTTTTTAAGTCAGTGTCAAATTTGTTTTTTATCTTAATTTTGGTAAATAAACTTCAATTGTTTTTATTCTTTCCAGACCAACATAACACTGGAAAAAAGTTACGTAAAAGGGTTTAGGACTCTGTCTATCCATAAATAGGATAACTCTCTGAAAACAGAGCATGACTGGACTAAATTTGGTCGGGCAGGAGAAGCCAGCAAAAAAAGGACCAAGTTTAAGATGGACTGGATCTGTCTGGGGGATGCGGAGAAAAGTTTTCCAGGAAAAAACATCCCCCAGTGCATCATTTTGGGAGACACATTTGGACAGCAATTCAAAAGTTGCTGATGTTCCTTCCTAAGCTCTCCTCCTTCCTGGTCATGTAATCCAAAGTGGAGTGAATGTAGTCCATTATGTGTTTCCCAATGCACACATACACTGATGTGACATGAAGGGAAGAGCAGGAAAATAACCATACTGAAGAAAGAACAGAACCTCTTATGCCCACTGTTGGTAAAGTAGTGGGAAAGAATTCTAGAAATCATGCTCTGCATGATTACAACTGCCCTGGTACATATGTTGACTAAAACAGGACACTTTGTACGTAACTTTATTTATAGATCACAATTAATTACACAGAAATTACAAACAAAAAGAGTCTACATATTGTTTTTGAATAAAATGAGGATACAGGATTATCTTTATATTTTGCTATTAACAGCATTCTCCAAGGCTTTAGCAACTTGCTCCACATTTAGGTTATTCAGTGACATGCTCTTCTCTAGGCCAAAAGCTGAAGAAAAACAAATCTGATTAAAAAAGAATCTTATGGACTGACTTCATTCAAAGATAATTCTAAGGTTTCAAGAAACAATTGTGTTTTTAATCTATAGCTCCTTTAGAAATGGATTGCTTATCTGTAGACTTGCTAATACAATTCAGACCCCCAAAAAAGCCTATGGGGACAATATATATACGCACAATAGTTTCTTCTCAGTGCATACAACATCCTGAACATCAGCTACTATAAACTGGCACATCATGCTAAGCCACCAAAACCTAAGGTGCATGTAGTATGTGGTATGAATGCAACCTCTAGGATTTTTAGCTGGCTTGTTAAGCATGTTGTATGAACACAGCCAGAGCTGAAATTCACATATGTCCCTAGTAATTTTACTTTATCATTTATGTAATTTTCTCAAGGAATTTGGACAAGTGAGAGATCAACATAGTAGAAGATTATACCTAGGAGAGTAGTCTTATTTATGAGTCACAGCAGGCCTTTTTCAGATTGCAATACTCTTTGCAAGGAGTGAATCTCTCCCATTCCCACCTGGTTCTGAAATCTACCCTGCTTCATAATTCAACTAGTCTATTCAGTTTTAAAAAGATCTCTTATTAAGGATGTAGGCAAATATACTCACCCCACAAAGACATTAACTTTTACCATAACAATACTACTGCACTTTTGTTCAGAGTCAGCAAATGCTATAACTGCTTTATCCATTAGTCCATACAAGGCTTTAGTTACTTTATTATTTTCACTCTCATTTATTAGATTTTGCTGATCAGAGTTTTAGAAATAAAGATTCAATGCCATCACAATTTGCTATAAAGTTAGAGGAAAGCTGGCCCCCCAATAATACTAGTAGTAATTATTTTTCCCATTATGGGATTTAAATCCTGTTTTTACATGTTTGTGGAAGGCAATAAAGTAAACATGATGCACTGACACTAGTCATACTTTTGAAGCATTTGGCCATTGAGAGATCCATCTAGTTAGACAACTGATAATACAAAATCAGGAGCCTCAACATAAATTATGAATGACAGAAGCTTTTCTTACTATAAAAACTTAAATTGAACAAGTTATAGACACTGTGTTATGTTGTTATAACATTTTTAAAATAACTTGTGTTAGAAAATGAGTGAAAATTTTGAAAAGGAAACGAACACTTTTGTCTATGATTTTAAAGGATTTCCCTTCTGCCAGTTACTCTTAAGTGGCTCTACAATATATACACTCTATTAGTACCTGCCAACTTCTTTCTGTTGCAAGGATTTAACAATTTAACTTAATTTGTCAACAGTATTAATAGAATTAACACAGAAGTCTCTATCGACTCTCTACCTTCGATAGAGATATTGAAGTTTGTAATACTATATATTTCTTTTGATAGATTATGCCAACATGTTCATACATTTTGTGTGAAGATGGACTTGGCTTACCAAATACTGCAGTTCATATCTGCAGAAAACCCTCATATTTTTCTTTTTAATAGCAATATATTTTTTAAACAAAATGTTTTAGAGAGAAATAAACCCTGGTGAATGAACTGTACAAAATTACTTCTGTCGTACTTGCAAGAGAGTATTTCACACAAAAGTTCTTCTCAACTCACCATATCTAGCCCATAGCATGGGATGAACATTGGAGCATTCTCTGATCAAGATGGGGAAGTTTGGATTTGCCTTCTTCAAAGTGACATAGTGTTGTTCAATGAAATCTCTGCAAAAAATCCAACAGAATAGAATACAGTACATCCGGTTCAATGTTCATCTTCATGCCATTCAATTATCAGCCCTATAGAAAAATTAGTTAAATATCTAATCACAGAATATGCTACACTTCACAATAATGTTTCAGACATTACACTATTTATTTATTTGATTTATAGCTTACCTTTTATACAGGAACTCAAGATGAGGTTCACACTGCTCTCTTCTACATTTCCCCACAGCAGCAACCCCTGAGGTAGGTTGGGCTGAGAGAAAGCAGAGCAACTGATCCATAGTCACTTACTTTGCTTTGAATACTGCACACGTTCATACACAAGTCAACATATTTTTGTCTAACACATTGTGTGAACCCAGCTCATATTTTTAGTTCACCGTATCAGGCAAACAGAAGATTAGAATAGCTGAAGAAAACTCATGGCCTTTCTGTAAGGATAATGGGTGGAGGAACATTATAGATCACTCTGAAATTCTCAGACAAACTTAGAAACATACTTAGAAAAGAAGCACACATGCGCGCGCACACACCTCCCCCTAGTAAAGAAGGCTGACTGTAATTAGCATCATTATGAATATTTCACCCTTAAAAGGTCCTCTGCTTCCTGTATTGTCTATGAGGGGGAACCAAACATTTTTTTTAATCTTATCTGCCTTGAAGCATGTAAGGAAGGATTTGGTTTAAAAACCACTGGACTACCTCCTGCTAGGCTGAACAGCAGCCCAAGTGGCACCTCACTATTTTCTTCCTGCCAGCCTATCCACTTAGCAACTCGTAAAGAAGCAGGCAGGGCCAGCCTCCTCTTCTCAACAGCCAGGAGCCACTTCTGAAAGGAACTTTTGTTTCCCTGATACCTTCTATATCAGGTTATCTCCAATGCTCCCGGTCACTTACTGGAGTGCTCCTCTCTGCAGCCAAACATACTGAAGCGTTACAACTGAGCTCTACTCAAATGCCCACAATGCACCCAACGCCAAGCTGGGCAATGCCACCCACATTTTAGCCCGCGAGACGCGCAAACCCACCCAGCGAAAGGGTAAGCTGGACAGCCTCCACACCCCTCCACAAAGCGGTCGGCGAAGCGCTCGCCTCTCACCTACCGGGCTCCCTGACTAGCCGCCGAGTGCTGGCAAAGGTGGATCCGGATTTCCTTGAGATTCTGGCCCAGATTGCTCCCAATGGCTCGGACAACCGAGGCGGCCGCCATGGTGACCGCCAGCCTCAAAGGTCCTGCGGGCAGAGGGCGTTGCTTCGCCGTCTCCGTAGCCAATTCGGAGCTTAGCAGAAGACGGACGCGTAATGACGCGCACAGGGCGAGAGGCGCGCGAGGAGTTATGGGTAAAAAGTAGGCGGTCGCTTGCTGCCGCTTACAGACCTATGATAGGATGGAGGGATACCGAACTCACATTTTCCTTGATTTAAAGCTCTATCTGGCTATCCACGTACTGGGCTGAAACCTACGTGTAGAAATCGGTGAAAAATTAGAAGAGCAGCGATGGGGCAGCTGGTCTACGTAGAAACAAAGGCAGCAGCGTTAGCAAAATGAGACCAACTCGTCCTCCTAACGGCCTGCTAGCCCAAGCTTCCCAAAATTCGAAAGATCACTAGGTCGTTCGTATCTTTGCAGTCCACATCTCACAGTCCTCTATAAATGTCATATTTTGTTTGAAAACGGCGATGCTTTTCAGTTCTTAAATATCTAAAGGGGAACATATTTGCAAGGAAGTCAAAGAAGAACACGATTGACTGGGCCGGATTTTAGGTAGAGAGCCCGAAAAGCCGTTGAAACCTGTTCTCAACCTACAAAATAGTAAAAAGCTCATTTTCAAAATTGTCGTAACCTACGATCCCTCAACCCGCAAAACAAGGACTACTTTTTTCAGTGTTAAAATAAGAAAATAAGACTTGATACATATTGAATGAGAATTGCTGTTTTCGCTGGAATTTGCTGAGGAGACATGCTGAAATTCTAGATTTGCCGTTATTTTTAATGAGAGATCATTGAAAGGCTAACTTAATTCTAAAAGTCAACCCGGAAATGACCTATCCCGACAAGTCTAACACATTACTTTACCTTATCTCTAAGCTCCCAGAGAGCTTCCGCGCAGTGCACTATGGGTTAAAAGCGCCGTCCCTGCGCGGTGTCTTGTGGGAAAGAGGTAGAGTTCGGTGGAGCCGTTGTTTGTCACATCAGCCGGAGCTGTTTACATCTCAGGAGAAGCCGCGATGCCGGAGCGAGACAGTGAGTGTCACCTTGAAATCTGCGCGGGGGAGAGGAAGTCGGTGAATTGCCTCTGGCTTGGCTTTCCCTTTTCTTGTTCGCCTCCCTTTCCAAGTAGAAGGGCAGCGAATATATTCTGGGGGATCTGAGGCAGTCTGGCGTCCCTTCCCCATTTTATTCTTGTCTTGAGTGGCGAAGGGCTGAATGATCCATACGAAGGCGGAGGAGCGCAGACTTGGTGGTCTTTTTTCTTTTCTTTTTAACTTCTCCCCGTATCTTCACTTTTTTAACGATGCCCCCTCAGTTCTCACTACTGTTAACCCTTAAGTCTCGGCGTATTTCTATAATTTGATGAAGACTTGCCTCCCTTTTGATGGTACAAAAGAATCCCTACTGAACGATGGATCCTCTGAAAATTGAAGGCCATAAAGCAGGTGTTTGCAAACTTTTCGATTTTAGTTCATGCTTTGGGGGCAGCTTTATAGAGTCGGATCGGCAAAGGATTGGCTAATACTCCGATGGTGGACTGTTACTTTATTTGTGATTTGCTTGCTGGATTCTTGCAAAACGTGTCAGATTTTTTCCTAAGTTATATATTCTGTATTTTGCCCTGTATTGTATCGGATACAGAATGTGCTAATTTTCAGGGGGGAAACCTGAGGAAAAAATGAGGGGAAAAGCAAGGCTTACTTACATGAAATACTACCTGTTCAGTCACATTTTCAGAATTGATCACTATCAGCATTTTCTAATTCTTATTATTTTACAATTTTATGGACTCTGAAAACTAAAGCTTTGTCTGTACTGGGAAACATTTTTCACTCTTTTACAGTTTAATTTCTTGATTTATTCTAAACATGACCAAATTCTTAAGCACTTTATGTATTATAATGCTTTTGCACACATGACTTTTTAGGAGTCTATCCTTATTCCTCCTCTCTTTAAGGAATTCCTGAAGTGCTTCTAAATAACTATAGGTATTGCAAATGATCATATTTACTTTGTGTTATTCCCTTGATTATATTTGCATATCTTTTGTTGTGTTTACTTGGGGAAAGAAGTATATTAGTAGAAATTCCAAGACACAGATGATAATATTCCTATAGATAGTATATTTATTATGTACACAATAAAGAGACTGAGGTATTGTGAAGAAAGAGGTGAATTGAGGGTAGAACTTTAAATAAATTTGTGAACATTTTAAGTTAGGAAAAAATTGAGATACGGAAAAAAAGAAGATAGTTTCTGTAATTGCTGTATCTTCCTGCTGGATTTCACAGAATGATCTGTAGATTGCCAGAAAGCTGATACTGTTCTGGACAAGAACTTTTTTGAATCTCTTGCTCTTTTCCAACACTTTCAGTAACACCTTGGAACTGGGCTGAAAAATCAGTTGCATATCAGCTATTTCTTGGTATTATTTCTTTCCAGATACTTTATATGAAAAATGTCACAATCTGTTTCAGTGAAATGCATACTTAACTTTCAGATATATTGTGTTGACTTGTAATTCTCTTTTTCTAGGTGAGCCATTCTCCAACCCTTTAGCCCCAGATGGCCATGATGTGGATGATTCTCATTCTTTCCACCAGTGAGTAGAGCTTTTAATTGTATTTTAAGATACAGCTTTCAGTGTTAAAGACAAATGTTTTTGCCATATACATTGCTAAGGGGACCCAGCACATCTTCTTCCAAGTGCAACAAGAGGATTTCCTCATCCTGGACACAGAACTTTGAAAGAGATTGCAGGTTATTCTTACACTTGTGTGGAATGCAAAATCTCAGCAGCACCATTTAGTTAATCCCTGTTCCCCTCTCCAGTTTATAGTTGGAGGAAAAGAGAGCCTTGTCATCAAACAGAGGTGCAGTGGAAGGCAAGGGTCTTTGCTGTCTTCAATGCTGATTGGACTATATCAGCCAGCAAAAACTTGTGGATATTAGCTAATGAGATTGTAAAGAGACAAAATGGTGTTAAACAAGGACTGAGGGATGGCATTTTATTCAGTGTACTTTGGAGAATGAAATGTAATATCATCTGACCTAGGAAACAATTCATAAGGGGGCAATAATGTATTCTGCTTTGGAACTACCTATAACATTTTGTTTTTTTTTCTATATCTTTCTGCTCTTTCTGGCCAATTTGCGTGCTATAATCAGTGGGAAAACCACAAGACAACCACTATTTATTTTTTTTTATTAGTAGAGATTCTGGCAAGTCTACATATATGGGTATAGTAAATGAATATTGTATAGGAGCATTTAGTTTTTCTTTCTTAATAAATTATGTACCATGAGTTGCACATTTTTGCAGTATTTAAAATGTCTTTATTATTCTAACCTACCCAGAGTCATTGGGAGTTGGGTGGCATACAAATTTAATAATAATACCGAGTAATTAAGTATTCTGTTTTATGCATTTTTGTAAACATTTCTTTTTGTGATAGGTCTAAATTGACCAATGAAGACTTTCGTAAGCTTCTTATGACTCCACGGGCAGCACCAACATCTGCACCACCTTCAAAATCTCGCCATCATGAGTAAGCATGCAATTTCTATACTTTTTACTAAAACATAATACATTTTTTCAGCTAATGCATAACTATCTTATACTAGTTCTAACTTAATCTCATGTTATCTATAAAATGAGTACACTTTTAGTTTGTATATCTTATATAATTGGTACATATATAATAGATGCTAAAATCAGGACTAGGGTACTTGAATAAATAGAATTTGCAAAAAAATAGTAATGTTGTTTAGAGAATGTCATGTACATTTTATCCATGTAGCAATCCTGAAAAGTAAGATTTATTACTTTCTATTAACTGCCCACATGTTGTTATTGTTATTGGTATTATTTTGAAAGCTTTTTTTATGGCTTCTAATTTCATTATTGCTAATATTCTTTTGAAATTGGAGTTTCTGTTTTCTTGCAGTTTAATGCATTCTTTTATTGTGAACATTTTTATTCTTGTTCTGTTTAGGATGCCAAGAGAGTACAATGAAGATGAAGATCCAGCTGCTCGCAGGAGAAAGAAAAAAAGGTAAATAGAAAGATAGAGATTGGTTCCTGAAGTTTCCAAAAGCGCTTATGTTTTCTTAAATTGGAGGAAGAATCACACTGCTGGATAAATGGAGCTAATCGTTTTTGCTTATCTTTTAGTACTCAATATAAGGATGAATCAGACAATATATATGCTATTTCCCTGTATGAAAAATGTAGGCCTAGGTCAGTAATGAAATAAAGGACAGTGGCAATCACTATTGGTGTTTAAAAAAAGATCTTAAAATGCCATGGTTTGCTTGCTTAATTTAATTATTTCTTCTTCTTCTTCTTTTAATGTCAGCTATTATGCAAAACTACGTCAACAAGAGATTGAGCGAGAGAGGGAGTTGGCAGAGAAATACAGAGACCGTGCCAAGGAAAGACGAGATGGTGTCAACAAAGATTATGAAGAAACAGAACTAATCAGTACAACTGCCAATTACAGGGCAGTAGGACCCACTGCAGAGGCGTGAGTACAGTTACTGTTGCTGCCATTCTGGTTTGGAGTACAGTATAGTGCTGATATTAAGCCATTTCTTTTTATTGTACTAGGGATAAATCAGCAGCAGAAAAGAGACGGCAATTGATTCAGGAGTCCAAATTCTTGGGTGGTGACATGGAACACACTCACTTGGTGAAGGGTCTTGATTTTGCTTTGCTGCAAAAGGTGAGCCAGATAAAGCAGCAGTGCATAACAATTCACATGTTAAGGAAATTCTTGCCCTTATTTGTTGTTGCTGCTCTACCTAAAACTACTCTATATATCTAAGCTGATTTTTTGGGGTAATTTTTCCTATCATGGCTTGTAATGCTTGCTCTTCCCAATTTTTATATCATTGCAGAACTTGCTTGAAATACTAAAATATATGCCATGCATTTTGATCAAGAACAATCTGAGAATTTGTTCAAAGTTTTCAATCCATTGTTATTCAGTGGTTGTTACTAAAGTATATTACATCAATTACATATTATGCATGGTGTACATACATTTTATGTATGAAATACCTGCCTTTAAACATCTAAATAATCTTTTTTTCCATTTGCCTCTACTTACTCTTCCTCCTCTCTTTAACCTTCCCTCCCCCAGCAATTCTGAGACAGGGAAGATTGCTTTTACTTGGTTGCCAATAACAGTAAGGAAATAATGCTCTTGAACAAGGCTGCTATGCTGGGAGATATTTTAAACTTCCTGGCAAGTTACTGAAGTCTTTTCCTGCTGCTTATAACAGTGGAAAAACAATGGTGACTGACTAGCTGGGTGGTAGTGGAAAATGGCTGGATCTGCAGAGAGAGGTGAAGGGCTTTTGGGAGTCAGCAGTCTGCTCCTATATTACTATATTGGGAGACTATATTCATAAAATCATAAAATTTTGAAGAACATTTATTTCTGGTCAGGTACGGGCAGAGATTGCCAGCAAAGAAAAGGAAGAAGAAGAACTAATGGAAAAGCCCCAAAAGGAAACTAAGTAAGTAGCGATAAGCAGAGTTCTGACCTATGAGCTTTCAGACTGAAAGAAAAAATAGCCCAGATATTCATTTGTATTTCATTGCTTTCGTTCTAGGAAGGATGAAGATCCTGAAAATAAAATTGAATTCAAGACTCGCTTGGGTAAGGTTGTTCAAACTTAATTAATTAATTAGATTCACATCCTATTTTTCCTCCAGGAGCTTGTGGTGGTATATATAATACTCTCCTTCCATTTTTTTTTCTCCCCAACAACAACTCTGTGATGTAGATCTGGCAGAGAGAGTAACTCACCGAGAGTTGCCCAGTGAACTTCTATGGCTGAGAGCAAACTTGAACTTGGATCATCTCAGTCCGAGTCAAATACTTTCATATTCTTAACCTTAGAGTAAGATGTTATGAATATGTAGCACTGTGAGCAAGTTTATTCTGATTCTAGGAGTTCTTAAATAACCTATGGATAAAAGTATGCTTTGATTTCTAGCCTTGGGTTTATGTGCTTTGAAGAACTGCTGATTGGAGCAATGACTGAAATGCCTTGGTCCTAGTTCTCACAACACCATAAATCATACTGTGGCTTATTTAGCTTAATGTATTGTGTGAATTGTGGTTTATTCATGAATCTTCTTTTTCGCTAGGCCGTAACATCTATCGGATACTATTCAGGAACAAGGCATATGAGCGAAATGAGCTCTTCCTGCCAGGGAGAATGGCTTATGTGGTGGATCTTGATGATGAGTATGCCGACACAGATATTCCCACAACTTTGATTAGAAGTAAGGCTGATTGCCCGACCATGGAGGTAATTGACCTAATTGCTGTGGTAGTGTTACATGTGCAAGGCAAACATATATGAACTATCACAATAGTGATTCCTGTGATTTATCCTTTTAGGCCCAGACTACATTGACTACAAATGATATTGTAATCAGTAAACTGACTCAGATTCTTTCCTACTTGAGGCAAGGCACCCGTAATAAAAAGCTCAAGAAAAAGGATAAAGGTAAGCATCTGTTTTTAGAATTAAGACTTGCATATCTCATTTTCCATGATGAACAGCATTGAAAATGAACACTTTGCTAACATTTGAGAAATGTCAGAATGGTAACAGACTACAAAACTTAGATTCTACATGTTGCCCTATAGGTTGATATTTCACACTAGTGTGGAAAATGTGCTTAAGGTGGAGATTATTTCTATTTGAATCTGAGGAATAGATAGATACTTGCATGATCAAAGAGAGGAAAGGTTAATGTAAGTTGTGCATCATATATAAAAGTGCACTATTGATGAAATGCTGCAGATATTTGCAAAAATGTATCTCTGTCTCCTAAAAGAAACAATGTACCGTGGGTACAGAAAGAAGTGTACTCTGCTTTCTGTTTGTAGGGAAACTGGATGAGAAGAAACCCCCAGAGGCAGACATGAAGTAAGTATATGGATACTTCAAGTAGCCTATCCTTCAGGGCTTTAGCTGGATCCTTCTCACTGTATTTGGAACTGTTTTCAAGAAGCTGCTGCATTATTGCAAGGTCCTCAGTTTGGAAGGAACAGACAAATGAACTAGTTTTGCCTTACCCTTCAGGGCTTGGGGGCTGAATCACTTAAAAAGAAGATGCCACCACGATGGCTGGTGTGGGTCTTCCGGGCTGTGTGGCCGTGGTCTTGAAGTTTTGTTTCCTAA